GATTATAGTTGTGAGGTTTATAATTTCATTCTTTAAAGCATTTTTATACTAACTTTGACTGCCATTCTTTATGTTTGCACAGGTTAGCTTTTGAGGTAGCGAGTAGATTTTGATTAGATTTTTTAAGTACATATTAGAAATCAATTGGGGTTTTAGGATCTAAAACTTGCAACAAATTATTGAACAAACTATTGAATGCTACATTAGGAATCAATTTGGCATAAAAGCAGAAGACTGAAGTTATTCTCAGACTTGAGTAAAGAAGATTCAAATTGCGCATGGAGAAGAAAAGGACAAGATGATGAATGCAACGAAAAAGTGCAAACGATTATTCAAAAATTTCAAGAAATACGACCGACACAAGGAGGAGCAGTTATACTGTAATAGATTCAAATGAAGAATGACACCCTATAACATTTAGGTACAGTTGTTAGCTTAGTTATTTCCTTTATATGAAGATATTTAGTAGATGTTTTAATTAATTGTATATTTTTGATACATACGAAATACAATAATATGATTATTGCATTCTATTTTAACATGAATTAAGCTTGTTATTATTTAAAATATTTTTTTTATTTGAATCTTTTTCTATTTTTTATTATTAAAATAGAAAATATTGAAAAAATTGAACGAAAAATTGAATTAATGAATAAATGGAGCTAAGCTTTTAGGGACGGCACATGCCTATTAGGTAGCATTTTTCTGAGACGCGGGAAACTATGCTTTTGGGGATGTGTCGTTCTGTAAGGTTTTGGGGATATGGCGTTCCCAAATGTTTTTAGGACGTATGAACCCTAAAAGTTTAGGTGGCATGTTGTCTTAAAAAGTTTTAGTGACGTATCATCCCAAATAGTTTTTAAGGTGTTATGTCTTTAATGATTTAAATAATACTTTATCCTTAAAATCTTTTTTAAAGGGACTTTATGTCTTTTAAAGTATGAGGTACGAGTGGTTTTAAAATTTTGGTAATTGTATCGTACCAAAAACTTTTAGGAATCAAAATTACGTCCTCAAAGCCTTTCGGCAGGCCACCTTAGAGAATGACCACAGGGACACAATAATTTGTCCCCAATACCTTTGGGAACAAATTATAACGCCTATGGGATGATTACTGTCATCCCTAAACATCATTTCTTTTTTTTTTTTTAATATCATTGTGCTTAGTCTAAGAACATATGGTTTTTACTCGAGAGATAATAGTTCTTCTCTATTTGACTTGCGATATTTAACTTATTTAGATTTCAGTTCAAATAATGTTAACTTAAGTCATATTCTTGACTCTATTAGTTCACTCAATAAAATACAATATTTTGACCTTTATTCTTGTAATTTAAGTGGATCTCTTCCTAATTAGCTTGTAAACCTCACAAGTTTGCAATAGCTTTGAGTTATAATTAATTCAATATTGAAAATCTTGACAGCCTCTCTTATCTTTCTTCCTTGAAAAAACTAGAGTTGAGTGGAAATGAGCTTATATAAGGTTAATAATTATTGGCTACAGGTAATTAATAAGCTTCCTCATCTAACCATCCTATCTCTATTTGGTTGTAATCTTGGAGATGTTGTTCCTTAGTCTTTCCCCATAATTAATACTTCTAGTAATTCTCTTGCTCTCCTTAATCTAGGAAGCAGTAATTTGACCGCTTCCACGTTCCAATGGTTAAACATTCGCAACAATTTTGGTAGTCTTGACTTTAGTTATAATCATTTTCAATGTCCAATTCCGAGAAACTTTTAATCGCATGACTTTCTTGGAAGAGCTAAATCCTGATGGTAATCAATTTGAAGGAGAGATTCCAAAATCCTTTAAGAGTGGTAACTTCTCATCATTGAAAACCTTGAGTCTTGCACACAATAAATTGAATGGTACTATACCCAAAAGTATTGGACTACTCTTGAGTTGTTTGGTATTTCTTTCAATTCTTTTAATGGGGTGATTACTGAGGCATACTTCTTGATACTATCTAAATTATCATACATGGGCATGTATTCTAGTCATCTACGCATCAACTTTAGGCGAGACTGGATTCCTCCATTCCAATTGGAATATATAGGTCTTGGGTCTTGCATGTGAGGCCCTAATTTTCCAAGTTGGTTAGATACCCAAAGGAATTATTGGGGTCTTAATATTTCTGTAATTGGAATTTCAGATAGCATCCCCATCTAGTTTGGTAACATACTTTCCACAACACGAGCTATAGATCTTTCAACTAGATCAATGGAATTTTTCCAGATTTGTCATCTAATTCTGATGCCTTTGTGATAGATTTAAGTGGAAATCATTTGGAGGGTCCTTTACCATCATTTCCTGCTAATACCATGCACATAAACCTCTCAAATAATAGGTTTAATGGGTCAATTTCTCTCTTTGTGCTATTATTGGTATGTTACTCATGTTCCTTGATCTTTTGGACAATCAACTCTCTGGAGTGCTTCTTGATTGTATGATGCATTGGTCAAGTCTACAAGTTTTGAATTTGGCTAACAATCGGTTCTTTGGAAGAAGTCCGAACTTTGTGGGAATTCTTTCTTGGATTGAAACATTTGATTTGCAAAACAACAGCTTCTTTGGCGAAATTCCTAGCTCTTTAAAGAATTGTAGTGGATTGCAATTTTTGGGATTGGGTAATAATAGCTTATCTGGAATAATACCAAATTAGATTGGGGAAAGTTTAATTTCACTAAATTTCCTCCACCTAAAATCCAATCATTTTGTTGGAGAAATCCCATAGGAGCTATGGCAATTGCCATATATTTTGCTGTTGGACCTCTTTGACAACAGTATCTGCGGACACATACCATGGTGTATTTGTAATCCGACTACCTTCGCCAGAAAAGACATTTTAGCCAAACATCATTTCTTTAACTGTTCCCTTGTTAGTACCGAATATTATGATTATGAGGAAGCTATGCCGATGAAGCATCTTTCATATGGAAAGGAAAAGAATATCATTATGAAAATCTCTCACTTCAAAGGATCATTGATCTTTCAAGCAACAATTGAACAGGAGGAATTCCACTCCAATTTCAATTGAACTTATCAAGAAACCATTTGATTGGAAGGATTCCACCAGATATTGGGCAGATGAGATAGTTGGAATCACTTGATCTTTCACACAACATGCTTTCGGTTGGCTTCCTTCAAGCATGTCCAAGTTACAGTTCCTCAGTACCTTGGACCTATCATATAACAACTTTTCTAGGAGAATTCTATCCGGCACTCAAATGGACACCTTTAATGCTTTTGCATTATTGGTAATCCTGCATCATGTGGACTTCCTTTATCACAAACATGCCCCAATGATGAAAAGCCTACGGATGGTGGTGTCAAATACAATCAAGACAATGAAGAAAAATTCTTTAAACTAATCCTGTATAACAACTTCATTACTTAATTTAGAAGAATAACAGAGCATCTCGCCTGTTATTATTGCTTTTCCGGTTCAAGATGCTCATCACCT